TTCTAATGCAATTAATCGTTTTTGTTGACTCATTTTCCCATGTAATGGAATTGCTGCATATCCTAATTGTCTTAACATCATTACTAATTTTGTACATCCTGAACATTTCATAGTAAATATAATAATTGATTTTCCTTCTGTTTCTTTTAATATACTTAATAAATATCCATCTCTATATTTAAATGGAATAAAACAATATTCTTGTCTTAATGTATCAACTGTTTGATATTTTTGTTCTTCTTCTTTAATTTTAACAGGATGTGTTAATGATGCTCGTTGTAATTTTTCAACTTTTGTTGACATAGTTGCTGAAAACAACATTGTTGTTCTTTGACTTGGTAATTTTTCAATTAAATAATCAATTTCATTTGCAAAATCCATCTCAAGTAATTTATCAGCTTCATCAATTACTAAAAATTTAACTTTTTGAATTGATTCTTCAACTCCTTTTGTATTTTTAATATGATAAACTATTCTTCCTGGTGTTCCCAACAAAATTACATGTGGTCTTTTTGCAAGTTGAACACTTTGTTTCATTACATCCATTCCTCCTACTAATAAACATGACATTAATCCAGGAAGTGCTTTTCCTATTTCATCTAATACTTCAACTACTTGTGCTGCTAATTCTCTTGTTGGTTCAATAATAATACAATAAAATGCTCTATTCTTTTCTTTAACATTTAATAAATGTTGAATCATTGGAAGTAGAAATGATGCTGTTTTTCCACTTCCTGTTTGTGCAATTCCAATAATATCTTTCTTTTGTAATGCAACTGGAATAGAATTTTCTTGAATTTTTGTTGGTTTCTTATATCCTAAATACTCTACTACTTTCAACACTTCAGGAATCAATCCTAAATCTTTGAATGTCTTTTGTTTAGAAGCAGTATCATCCATCTCTTCTCTTTTTCTTTTTCATTTTTTTTTTATTTTTTATTTATTTTTCTTTTTTTGTATTTTTTTTAGGGTTTCTTAAATTTAGAAAATAAATTAAAAATTTTTATTTTAATTTTAAAAATTTCTTTAAAATGTATAATATAAATGGAAAATAAGGGTTATTAAGGGTTGACATATTATTTATATTTTTTGTGAAATTTATTATAATTTTCAATATTCTTTCATTATTTACATAAACAACAAATAATCATCTATTTATCATTGTGTTATATTATTTTATATTTCAATGAATAGTCAATGTTAAATGAAATAGTTCTATTTAATGATTAATAACAATCAATATTAATTATGATAAAAATGAATTATTGTTGTTATAATAGTGATTCTTATTATGTATCATTTAAAACAATAAATATTTAGTTCTATAAGATATTCATTTCAATATGATTAATGTAAATTAATATGTTAATGTTTTATATTTATCTAATATTATAATTACACCACTTAGTAATGTTAATATGTTTTTTATTTATAATTTCATTCACAGATTGTGTTACTTTGTTATTTACTTCTTAAAACATTAAAAATTGTATTTGTTATAAAAATTATTGAATTATGATTGTATTCAATACAATCAAATAAATTAAATACGATATAATGGATGTACTAAAGTTACGTTATCATCTATATTGATTCTAATTCAATATTTTATAATGAAATATTTTATTTTAGTGGTTTGTTAATTAACTTCTATAATCAACTTATAAAACATATTTTATGAAATGAATAATGTTTAACATCAGAATTGTTTGAATGAATCGTACTTTTATTTGTATTAATGTTAAATTTTGTTATTTGCTTCATTGTATTAGTTATTTCATAATTTATTTCACTATCACTGTAATCATTTTTATATTTTGAATATAATGTAAGATGAATACACTTAAAATCATTAACATTCAACACAGTACCTAATTGAGTCATTATCATTTCACTACAAGAAATGATAGGAGTTTTAATATTAAAAATAGTAGATTGATTAATTTGTGATATATTCTTTTGTTCATGATAATGAACAAACAGGTCAACAGTTTTTATTCGTTTTGAATCATGATTATAAACATGTTTAATAATATCCTTTGTTATTTGTTCAATACATTCTTTTGTATTATTTTTATACTCTTTTATATAATCAGAAGGTGTTGTTATATGTTGGTCTATAATTTTTTGTGATGTACCAACATCAATGAAACCAGTTTTTAATAAATTTATTGTGCAGAATAATTTAATTGAAGTATTATACTTCTTTTTGTACAATATCAAATCCAATTTAAACCTAATATCAATTAATTATTTAGCACCAGTTGTATATTCAAAATAAGGTCATTTTCTAAGTTCTTAACAATTAGTGTTAGGTTTAAGTCATAAGTTCACAGAAATAATTTACTATTATAATTACGTTATTAATGAAATGAATTTCAATTTTTGTATTATCTTTCAAATATAGCTTTTTATAACATTGTTATATTCAAATGTATTTTTCAACTCTTTTGTTCAAATAATTAATAAATTAACTCATTACTTATTGTTTGTTCTTTTTGTATCACTATATATTCAAAAGACTATTTTGGTATTATTATTATTCATATCCATAACTAACAACACTCACCAAATACTGTAACTGGTATTATATTGTGGTTGTTGTTAATAAATAACATTTATAAAACAAAGTTATCAAATATTTTAATTGTTGTTGGTATTATTTTTCTGTTTTTATTTCTATCATACTATCTGTATTTTATATGTTTATTATGTTTACATATTCTTTCTCTTTTCAATGTGTTGAATTTTTACTGTATACAATATTAATTTCTTTAGTTTTTTCCAATTTTAAACATTTTATACCATATTTATCATAAATATGAAATGTTTCAAAATTAGGAAAGAACCTTCCTGAATATTTATTTAAAGGAATTGGATTAAAATGAAATCGTTCTATATTTCCTTGAATTCTTTTAACTCCAATTTCTAAATTAATAAAATATTTAATATCATTAAAATACATTGACATTATCATTATTGAATTATATCATAGTTTAATTCTTATTTTTATTTATTATTGTATATTTTTAATTCTTCTTTTTAATTTCAAGTCGAAATAATTTTAAGATCATCATTCTAATTTATTTATATTATAATTTAATTAAATATTTATTGATTAAATCTTAAAACATAATCAAGATTCAAACTCTTGTAATCTTTCTTCTTTTGCTTTACCTTATTAAAAATTTTTAATTCAATAATTTAACAATATAAAACCATTATCAATGAAAATATTATTTTTACTATTCATTAGTTACTATTTTCTTGTCTAATGATTGTAGAATTTATCAATGTATATTTATTAGAATGATGATATATTCATTTCTATTCAACTTAATGAACATTTAATTATAGATAATGCAAAAGGAATAAATATACTTATAGTATTTTCTCTTTATTATCATTATTATCCTATTATTATAAAATAAAAATGATAATAAATAATCTGATATTTCATTATCTATTATAATTTATCAGTTATCTTTCATGAATAATATGTATTTTTAAAATTTAAATATTTAACATTATCACACCATCACTCAGATACATTGATTTATGTTTTAATAAAGTAATACAAATATTATTTATATAAGTATAGTCTGTTTAATTTTAATCATTTAAATGAATTATTTTGAAATATTTCATTTCCATTTATTGTTAATTCAAATTATATAACACTTCTTCTTACATGTTTTATGCATTAAACTAATTATTATTAAATTTTTGAGTATTATAGTCAATTCTTTTTAAAATGACATGCAATATTTTTCATAAACAAAACAACAAGAAATATAAAAAGAAATACTCTACACATCAAGTAGATGAGAATAAATAAGTAAATTATTAATAATAACATGATACAAAGAAATAAATTATTTATTAAATCTAACAAATGATTTAATTATGAAATTTTATTCTTCGTTTCAATAACTAAATCAGAATGATAAAAACATCAAAAACAATAATAAAATTAATAAAACGAATTATCAATACAATATAATTAAAGAATGATTAATTATAATTGAATCTGAATAGATAAAATAATATCTAATACAAATCAAAAATATATAAATTATTCAATTACATTTTAATCACTATTAATTAAATAAATATTACAATATTTTTACTTATACAATGTTTAAAAACTGTTACAATTTATTTTTTTTTATCAATATATTAAATAATAAATATTTTATTTCTTGTTTTCAAATACTTCAAAGACGATGTACTAATTTCCAACAATCTTAAACTTCTTTTTAGGTCAAATAAAAGTTTTCAAGACCC